TTTATAAAGTGGAAATTTTTCTGGAAAGAAATCAATCTATAAAATCATAGGCGCCTCTCCCATCAAAATAAATCTCAAAATTAGACGCCATTTATTGATTGTCGCAGCAAACTAACGGTCCTGGGTCGTTGATAGTTTTGACGTTTATTTTAACGGGAGAATGCCTCTATAGATAACTAGCCAAATGACCCTGGCAACGCCCGAGTTTTTACCCGATTAAATGTTTTCATTCAAATACTATTCGTTACAATTATAAATTGGCGCCGTGGATGTCACTCTTGTGAAACGTCCCGCTCCAAACTTTACATGTAAATTAGGTCAGCTGATATTACCTCCCATCTTCACCGCTAGAGGCGCTGCTCGCGAGCGAAGGGCAATTTCGCAACGCAAATATGCAAATAACTCGACGAATATTAGGGATAGAGACCTGAAATTTCACTATAAATTTTTCCAGATTCTACTCTATATACTGTTAAAATTTCAGTCAGATTAGTTACATATTGTGGACGTTAAAATCGACAAACATACATACATTGACTTATATATATATATATATATATATATATATATATAGGGATTATAGATAACTAGGCGAATGACCCGGCTTCGCCCGAGAAATCCCTTGGGTGCAATTTCCTTCATACTAAAAGTATATCAATAATAAATATTAGAAGTGCCATAGAATAGCAATACAGAAGTAACACATAAACTACAGGAAAAAAGTGTGTGTGATGGCAAAAATTGTATTATATTAGTGTTTAGGTTTTTGATTTAATTAATATAGTTGATATAATAATATATATTTATATTATATATAATATAAATGAGTTTTAAAAATTGTTTTAAAAAAATGCGGGAATCGAACCTGGGCCGCCCGCGTGGCAGGCGAGCATTCTACCACTGAACCACCGATGCTTTAAAAAAATGGCCATATTTAGGTATTCATTCCATTCCGGATTAGTCCGGTAAAAAAAAAAAGTTCTTCAAATGAAAAAAAGAAATAGCCAAAAATACTAATCAAAATGCAGCCGAAAATTTTCCTCAGGTTTATAAAAAGCGACATGCAAAATTTGGTACCAATTGGTTCAGTAGTTTTTGAGTTTATCGCGAAACAGACAGACAGAAATTGACTTTTATATATAGAGAGATATAATGATTATGATAATGATTATTAGAATGATAAATCTCAGGATGCTTGCTCTATCATCTATTTCTTGATAGTTAAACATTGAGTTAAAATAAATTGCATTCATTCATAAACCAATATTTTAAGTCAGTGTGTTACACAAATTTATCATTTTTCAATATCATATTGGTATATTGACAAGGATTGAAATACTGTCATAAAGTTCCTTGGGTATCAATTGCTACAGTCTAAACATTTTTCTAAGTGAAAAAATACTACAAATGTGATATTTTACTGGGTTAAGGTTGATAAATTAAGAAAAAGGCATCTCCTTATCGTGCAACTGAAAGTTTCTGATGGCTTATGCAAACTTTATTTATGCAAATACTATTTATTGTTGACAAGAAAATATTTTGTGGCTCTTTAAAAACTTAGAAATTTTGTAAATTGTAATTTTTAACTCTTTTCCCGACTCAAAATGTTGTCAAACCCTGAACTAGGGGGAAGAACACCAAGATAAATTTCTAGGTTTTTTTTTCTGGAAGGGTGCTGAGAAGAGCTATTTAACAAAGACCGGGAGTAATTGAAGGGCAGAGTTTCCAGGATTAAAAAGTAGTATTCCAAAAAGCAGTGCCCTTTTCATCCATTATCAAAGAAATTTTTGAAAAAGTGATCCACGTTTATAGATTTATAATCAAGTGAAGGCAAGTTAAATCAAGATCTGCATCCTAAGGCGTTAAATTAGTTAGGGTGTAGCGGTTTTCAGTAAGGATGGGGAAGACAACTTTTTCAAGACATTTTGAACATGAAAATATATTTATCCAGCTTTATGTTGGTTTTTAATATAAGTAAAATGGATTAATTTATCCATGTAACTGTACTTGACAAATGATATTAGCTCATACAAAAATAGAAATAACTTATTTACACTTAATTCATTATGCCAATTTAAAAGTTAATATGATAATATAGCTTAATCTACAATTTATATATTTAATTATTTTCAATTCGAAAATTAAATAAATAAATTAAATGTTCATCAATTTAAGCTTAAGTATCGTAAAAGAGTTATTACCAGAAATTTTGGTGAGAATATCATTTTATTTAAAGTATTTTTAAAAAATCAATAAAAATCATTTATTGAATATCGTATAAATAAACAGAGGACATTGTGTAATTATGTTTAGTACGAGCTAACGATCCTTTTGATCAAATCCTTTTTATAAAAATGACGATTCGAGGATTTTTATTAGATATTACAGGAGTTCTATACGAAAGTGGAAACTCAAGTGCAATTAAAGGATCAGTGGAAGCAATTCAAAGGTAAACAACAACCTTATTTTTTCTATTCTTTTAAAATCTTATTTGTAAGAATGGATAACATAATAAACCAAAATTAATATTTTATTCAAAAATAGGTTAAAATTTATATATTTTACCAAAGGCCAATAGCATTTAACATAAAACTATGCTATATAGCATGAAAAACGAAATTCGATATGCTGACAGCCCCGCGTAGGCCGTTGTAGTATATATGCCTGACCAATTTTCTTGCAAACGATTAAGTTGATACATCTCTAAGAAAAAATAAAAAAAGATATTTTGTATTTAAAACTCATATATTCTGCTAATTTTATAGAAAACACAAAAATTATCAATACCAAAGAGGGAAAGTTCAATGTTTTCACAAACCATAACTACCAATAATTACTCTACATGTATTAATAGTAATATATATACACATATTTATATATATTTAATAAAAAAGGCATATATTGGATCAAAATATCATTTATTTTTCCAATATTTCAGTTGGCTGAACGCCAACCTTTATCAAGATATTATAACATATTAATGTGTGTCAACAACAAACTCAGCGCCACATAACATCAATAGAATTAAGTTTTAAAAAATATTTTTGCTTATATTCAATGGGGAGAAAAAAATTGATATATATATTTATATTTTGAAAATAGAGCAATCCATAAATAAATCTTTAATTAAAAAGGCATATATTGGTAAAATAAATGATATTTTGATCCAATATATGCCATTTTAATTAAATATATTTATATTATGAGCAAAATATTCAATATATGTCTAAAAATGCATTATATTTATTTATGGATTGGTCTATTTTCAAAACAATATATATATATTATATAATCTAAAATGCAATTATTTTATTTTTTAAAAACATATACAGTAGAACTTGGATAATTCGAACTTCTTTAATTCGAAAACCTCTTTAATTCGAATATTTATCTTGGTCCCTAGAATTTCCTATATAAATAATTTAACATCTTTAATTCGAATTTTTGGATAATTCGAATTTTTTTATGGTCCCTTGGGGTTCGAATTATCCAAGTTCGACTGTATTTTATTTTCATTCATTGACTGTTCTTCATTTTTTTACCATAGATTTAGAAAATACCACTTTGAAGAATTGTTGTAAATATGTATAGTTGAACCTACCTATTATTTTTAATTCACGATTATAGAATTCATTTTATAAATTCTATATTACTGTGAAAAATAATTTTATGTGTAATTTACTTCAAGTAATTCAAAATAAAAAACTACTTGAAAGGTAAATAATTATCTTTACTTTTTAATGACTGCACCTCTCTCTCTCTCTCTCTCTCTCTCTCTTTTTCAACAACAAAACAAAAAATAATCATAACATATATATGTGTTTGGGTGATATAAAATTTTTTGTTATAGTATATACTAGCTGAATGACCCGGGCAACGCCCGGGTTTTACTCAATTAAATGCTTTTATTCAAATACTATTCGTTACAATTATAAATTGGAGCCGTGGATGTCATTCTTGTGAAACGTCCCGCTCCAAACTTTGTGTCTGAGAAGCAATATTTTTATAAAGAGATGATCTGGCTTTGTGTCTTCTGCTCGAATGAATGTTTTTCTGTTAGAATTTTGTTCCTGCATACTAAAAATGAACTGGCTTCACCCGTGGTCTCTGCTTTTTGGAATTTTTCTGGATATAATTTTGTATCTGATAATCAAATATGATACAGCAATATTGTCATAATCATTTTCTGACTAAAAAAACAACTATTTTTGCCCAGAACCTGTCAAATGCTTATAAAAAATGGCCATATTAGGGTATTTATTCCATTCACAAAAGCAAACGGTGACAGAATTGTTGATTGATGACTCTGATACTTGTATTGGTACTAGCCGAATGACCCGGGCAACGCTCGGGTTTTACCCGATTAAATGTTTTTATTCAAATACTATTCGTTACAATTATAAATTGCCGCCGTAGATGTCATTCTTGTGAAACGTCCCACTCCAAACTTTGTGTCTGAGAAGCAATATTTTTATAAAGAGATGATCTGGCTTTGTGTCTTCTGCTCGAATGAATGTTTTTCTGTTAGAATTTTGATCCTGCATACTAAAAATGAACTAGCTTCACCCGTGGTCTCTGCTTTTTGGAATTTTTACGGATATAATTTTGTATCTGATAATCAAATATGATACAGCAATATTGTCATCATCATTTTCTGAATAAAAAACAACTACTTTTTTCCCAGAACCTGTCAATTTATTTTTCTTGACTAAAAATCCGAAAAATATCTTTTCCAAATTTTTCTCTGTCCTGTTAAAACACGTTTTACATGTCCATTAGGTCAGCTGATATTACCTCCCATCTTCACTGCTTGCGAGCGAAAGGGCAAATTTGCAACGCAATTTGCAAATAACTTGTATACTTGTGTACATAGACCATAAATCTGTACATAGACAGGAAAAGCACATATATTTTAATAATATGAATGAGTTTTAAAAATTGAAAAACAAAAAAAAAATTCATCGGCCGGGAATTGAACCCGGGGCGCCCGCGTGGCAGGCGAGCATTCTATCACTGAACCAAAAGCAAACAGTGACAGAATTAAGAAAGAATTGTGCATGACGCTGATAACTGTATACAGTATAACCTCGTTAATTCGACACACGCAAATTCGACACTCTACCTTAATTCGACCATATTCCGATGTCCCGACTTCCGGCCTATCAAATAACAAACCGTAATTCGACAGTATCGATAATACGACACTTCCGATAGTTCGACCATTTAAAAATTCGAATTTCGAAAGTTGAATGTTTTTTTACATACAACTTTACCGCTAAACGATATTACGGCGGCGACGATCGGCATCGGCGGGCGCCAATAGGATCACGCCTGCGCACTTTTGGTTTCTGTTAGTTTAAGTTTCACTTTGCAGTGCCGTTGCGCAATGTCGCGAGTGTTATTGTTTTTTTTTTTTTTTTTTTTATGCGGGAATTTAGGCTTTGTGCGCTAATTATTAATATTATTTTCTTTTTAATTTTCAGCAATGAAATATTTTAGTTATTTTAAAATTTGCAAATAATTTCTTTTTAAATAAATAAATATTCATAAAAAGTAGCCACAATGATTATGATAACATTTTATTTCAATATTCCATTTCCATGTTATTATAAAATATTTAAACACAAAATCAATAACACCTGCAGCAGCAGTGGATGCCTTTAATACAATAAAAGCTCTTTGTTATTTAAAACACATTCCAGAGGAAGAAAGACATGCATGTTTTTTTTTTTTTTTAAATAGGCCATCTGGAATACATTTTGAATAGGATTTCAGTGAAAAAGCAGACATCTATAAAGTAATTTTTAAAAAGATATATATTCATGATTATTTTAAAATATTATTTTTAAATTTTCTTTTTATTTTCCATATTTATTTCCTTTAAGCTGCTATATTCTTCAATTAGAATAAATTTTATTTG